CACCTGTGCTTGCAGCTTCAGCGTTCCACCTCCCAGATCCTGGTCCCCATCGCACTCTCCTTCCCTCCCACTTCTCTGGATTTTGCCTGGCGCAGAGCAACCAGGCCGCCCAGCAGACAAGAAGAGAGCTGGGTGCAGGCTGGAGCCCAGGACAGCACTTCTCAAACTGCTGTCTGGGGGCGGGCAGTTATTCGGTGTGCAGTGAAAATAGTGTTCCCAGCTGAGTTAACTCTGGAAGCTCCGACTGCTCTAAGCCACATGGGCTTCTGTACTGGAGGACTTCTCAGAGTCTTTATGACTGTAATGTGCTGTCTGAATCTTATAAAGGGGATTTAGTAGGCAGCATTTCCCAAACGAATAGGACCCCAGGGAATACCTAATAATAACATCTCTCAGGACAAAAATTCCACAAACAGCGGGCGGGATGCCGGCTTAGTGCTCTGCCGTCTGAGCTTGGCAGTCAAGCTTCAGATCAAGTCTTGCCACTTACTAAGAGTTTAACCCTGGGCAAGTTACTTAACTTCTGAGCTTCAGTTTCCTATATGCAAATCAGGGTGATAACATCCTCCAGATAGATGCTTTGAGGACTGAACAGCATCAGGTATATAAAATGTTAAACACAGTGCCTAGAGCTTAGTAAACTGTCAACATTAATTGCCATTTAATTGTCCATCCATGGCCCCAAATATGTTCACCTGCTACCCTAGACTCTGTACCATACAGCTGGGGCCTGCCCCAGGCTTCCTGCCCCCTCTCCCCTGCCAAAGCTCTCTTCCCTTGTCCCTTTGTCGCCATCCAGTTACCCAAGCCAGAAGCCCAGGGGCCGTCAAAGACTTCTCCATCCTCCATGTGCAGTTGGTTTCCAAGAGACATCAATGCCACTACTTACTTGAAAGGTTCTAGGTTGTCCGATCCTACCCATTCCCACAGCTCCAGTCCCCATTGCACCTGGTGCTTGGCCTACTGTCAGGTCAGGTTCTTTGCCATTCTCTCTGGCAGGAAAGCCTCGCTTCCTCGCTCAGTCTGCCCCGTAAACGCCTGTTTATCCTTCAAGCCCCACTACAGTATCACTTCTTCCGAAGCCCCTTGGCTCGCCCTTTGTTTTCTTCCCGGCTGGTTCAGCTCTCGGCCGCCTTCAGCACCACAAGCCTGCCTCTGAGATGGTGCTTCTCCCAAGTGTGAGTACCCATACTGTGAAGCTCCTGGGCAGATTTTTTTTCATCTTTAAACCCCTTGGCACCATTACCTGACACTTAGTAGGACTGTCAGTAAATATTTGTTGAGTTACTTGAATTTTCCAAAAACTTTGTCTTCCTTTCCATGATTCAATGATTCTTTATAGAAGTATAGCCAGCTAATTGTTTCAGAGGCTTCCCTGGGCTGATACCAGTTGCCGTATCTTCAGCATCTACCAGGTATCAGGTACTCTAAAAAGTCCTTTATGTACATTAACTCCTTTAATCCTGTGAGCGAGGTTCTAGTGTTCTCCCAATTTCACCGACAAGTATTTTGAGGTTTATCTAGCTGGTAACTGACCGGGGCAGGATTCAAACCCAGGACCGCCAATTTCGACCCCAACCCATGCTCTAGCCTTCATTTATGAACTGAGATCTACCTGTATTCTCATCTTGACCATTGTCATCTAGAGTTTTAAGAAGTGTAATTTTATGTAATTAAGAAGTGTAATATCCGAGCTGAACTTGCCTGTGAGGGAAAGGGCCATGGGTTTTTGCTTGGACCAAACTCAAAGATAATCTCCATTTTTTATTTGTACTCATCCTTCAGGCCTGTTTTCCCAAACAGCCCAAAACCAGGAAGAGCAAATACAGGCCTCAGTAGCTAAGTCCCTGTGGTTTGTGCCTCTCCTCTGCCCTCAATGACTGGCACTTTTATGCCATATTTTCTCTCAAGAGAAGAAACCTGGATCATTTCTTTAGGAAGCATTGGGCACTGTCCTGGTCCCAGGCACTGTGCTAAGGCTGAAAGTTCTCTGCCCTTCGTGAGCTCGCGACCTGACAGAGAAATAACGCACGTGCTTATTCTGACTACAAAACCAGAGATCAGTAAAAAGAGCACTGAACTGAGTCTGAAAGACCTGGATCTAATTCCAAATTTACATCCACAACTCCAAAACCCAAAAAACTCTGGAAACTGACCCTTGTTTTTCTTTTTTAATTATTTGTTTCTGTTTTTTCATAACTCTTAGAAGCAAAACCTGACCTCAACACAAAGTTTTTATATGGTCCTTATTCATTCCACTTAGCATGAATATTCATATGTTTTGCTGCAAAACAATGTGTCTGATCATAGAATGCTGTCCCAGCCCCCATGTGGGGTGTAGATAAGACATGGTTCAGAACCCTGAAGTACATACATCTCACCCCAAGGGTTTTGGAAAAGCAATATGAATTTGTGCCTTGTGATCAGTTGAAAAATATGTATGAAAAGACTTTGTAAACTAGAAAGCAATGAACTCTAGTGGGAGGGTCTCAATGGTATGATCACCTTTTCTGTGTAATGGGTGCACTCAGGATGGAGCCAAGAAGCGGGTCAAAAGATGTCTTAGGGGAAGTAAAATTTGAATTGGGTCTTAACGGGTGAATAGAATTTTTCACTTCCTTGAGAAGCTGTGGGAAAGGAAGTCTGGGCTGAGGCAAGAACATACAGAAAATGCAGGGAAAAAATGTCTGGAATAGCTTGAGTGCACAGACTTTGTCGGCTTTTACAGGAACTCTATATGTCAAAGTGAAAGAAGCAGTACAGATAATACAGAGGGGCCACTAGTCCATAATCTGTGTGCTCTGGGCACGGTTTTTCTTTGCAATGCCAGTTTACACACGCCTTCACAGAGAAACGTCACTGTCTGGTGGATGCCTCCTGGCTTAGCGCGCTGGGGAGGCTGGGGAACTTCTGGCCCCTCTGCCTCCCCTGGCCCGTCCAGCAAGGATCAAGCCCACACACCACTCCTGGCTGGTGCTCACCTTGCTGTCCTTTGCGTGGTCTAGAGGAAGCCGCTCACCATCTGGCTGCTCCTGCGTCAGACTACCAGGTTCACATCACATCAGCCTCTTACTGCTTTTGGTGGCCTTGAGCAAGCTGCATTACTCTTGTGCCTTTGTTCCTTGGATGTAAAATCAGAATAATAGTAGAAAGCTGGCATGAAAAGCACTTAGCAGGGTGAGTCAGCGGTAAGCACTCAAGCAGTAGTTGTTTATTATTATTATCATTATTACAAAGACTCCCCCTCCAGCTTTGTAGAAATACATATATTCCTTAATATTTACTGAAAAGGGCGGGGGTGGGGGGTGCGGATCTCTTTATTCTCTCTGCCCTGGTCATCAGCTTCTTTCTAGTTATCCACTTTCTGTAGAGAGTATTTTTATTTTGTTTTTTACAGCTGTTTCTCCATCATGCTGAGGCATGGCCCCCCTTATTTTGGGTATAATCTGATGCAGGGATTCCCACACTGGGACCCCCAGCTCCCCAGGGGTCCTTGTAGGCAGTCGGGGGTTCCCAGGCTAATCTCCGAACGCTGGTAACAGTAAGGCAAGGAAAAGCACTGATCCTGCAAGTAGAGAAGCCTCGCCACCAACCCGTTTCCTCCCGCCGCGTGAGGTCAGTGATCTCCGGAGGCCTCCGTTTCCCGCTTGACAGAATGGAAGTACTAATACTTTCCTCACAGGAATGTTACATCTTAAATCAGATCACGTATTTAAAGCCTTCAGCACAGGGCATCGTGTGTAATAAATATCTGCCACCATTATTACTATTAGTACAAGACATTTGAAAATCACACTTTTACTGCAAGATGGAGCCTCAGATATAATTAAAAGGTCAGATTTCTGTGGAAAGTGGGTGGAATTACATCAGTTTAGTGCGGTGACACTGTCGCCTAATGCTAAGAGCCTCTGGTCGGCAGTTACATATGCCTTTAGTGAGTAAAAATGAAGGAAATCATTGCTTAACAAGTACATTTGGGCAGAGAAAGTGTGGGCATGAAGCCTGGGGGATGTGGAGAAAGAGAGTAATAAAAAGTCGCAAGGACCCACCAGTCTTGTACACCGATCAATGCTTTCTAGTTGGAAGATCTTTTTAAAAAAAACAAAGTAACACATGGATCTTGTCACCAGGCCTTGCTCAGAAGCCCTTTGGCAGGTTTTACCCATTAACCAAAGGTCCAGGGGTGCCTAGGGCCCCCTGCGATCCCATAGTTATCACATAGACTTGAAATGAGAGATGCTCTTGGAAGTGATCAAGTGCCAACCACCACCCCCACCCCTTGTTTGACAAGTGGAGAAACAGGCCTCAAGCCGGACAGACACTTGCCCAGGGTGGCACAACCATCACATGGTAGGGATTCACACCTAAGATGCTTAGCGCTCTGTCCAGTGTCCTTTCTGACCAGATTCCGCATCCAGAAGCAGCGTCACTCCAGGGGGTGAACCCCACTCACCCAGGGAGTTCTTTCTGACCAACAAAGGCCATCTCTCAACCGCCCTCACCTCGTCTGCGCCTAAGGGGAGTGTCTCCTCTCCCCTGTGTGTATTATAAGGGGGGAAAAAGTGGAGAACAAATGAGCCAGCCCAGGGCGTCCCAGTTGTTCCTGTTCCTAATGCCTACTTGGGATGCCCCTAGCTGGAGATTCTAGGCTGCAGGTTCAGAGCTGCGGTCTGGGAACCCATATTAGTAAGCACACCAGGGGACTGACAAGTGTCAGGAAACACCAAGCTAATCCAGGCCAGTGGAATTTTTAACTACTTTCTGTCCTAGAGTGGGCAATGAGATTGAGAGGGATTTTCCCCTTGCAGTTAATGGCAGACTTAACCTGCATCCTAATTCCTTACAGCACCTTTCTCTTTTCTAACAGAACCTAAATTCTTGGGCACACAATGGCTTTGAAAAAATGTTGCTGCCTGATGTACTCTGGGGAGATGATTTGAGCAAAAGACGCCCTGTCTACCCCGGGCAACATTAACATCTCTCTTTGGCTTTGTGCTTAGACTGAAGAACCTGGAGCTAGCTGCTGTGGGTGGGTCAGATGTCCACGTGAAGATGCTGGCGGCCCCTATCAATCCATCGGACATAAATATGATCCAAGGTAACCGTGGTTTCTGTGGCTTATGTTAATTGGTCGGTCTCTCTCTCTCTCTTTTTTTTTTTTTTTTTTTTTTTTTTTGCTTCGCCACCACCTCATGTTCATTCCTCCCCAGGTGTGGGTGTGAAATTCCTGGGGTTCACAGCAGCTGTCCTGCAGATGTGCTGTGTGCAGACAGCGTGAGCCCCTGGCTTCCCCTCCCTGGGCTGTGAGGCTTTTCCAGAGTTAGGAAGATTGCAGTAGGAGTAAGCCAGTCACAGTGATGTGCCTGCAACATACCGGGCTCATTTCATGCATTATCTTATCGAATCCTCCTAATAACCACAAATACAAAGGAGTATTGTCCCACTTTATAGAAGCAGCAGCTAAGGCTCAGAGAAGTCGGTTGGTAACACAGCTGGTCAAAGGCAGAACCCAGATCGGGCTTAGGCCTGACTCCAAAGTCCACGCTTTCACTGCTCAAGCCTTGTTGGATGACCCTCTGTGCTCTTCTTCCTTAGGAAATTACGGCCTCCTTCCCAAGCTGCCTGCTGTTGGAGGGAACGAAGGCGTTGGACAGGTGGTGGCAGTGGGCAGCAGCGTGACCGGGGTGAAGCCAGGAGACTGGGTGATTCCAGCGACTGCTGGTTTGGGTGAGTTTCTCCAGGTATCTGCAGACTTTCATTGTTCCGGATCTTATTTTACCCACACTGTAGAGGTTTGCTCATTGGCTGACTGTAACTAAGCAATGCAGGGTTTATGAAGTCCGTATACCTAGCCTACCCTCAGGAGGGGTGGGAGCTAAACACGGAGAGCAGAAATTCTGTCTCTTTTGCTCAGGAGGTGAGGTACCTGCTCTCTCATCTCTTTGGCCTCAAGTTGATTGGAGCTGTGATTCTCTGAATCCCTAAATCCCTGCTGTGAGGTACGATGCAGAACACAAATAAGACAGCCCCTGCCCTCCTGGAGGTTAGGATCCAGTTGAAGAAATCTCCAAACCAATAACTCCAATAAAGGGAGTGCTGCAAATTCACAGGAAGCAGACGACATTTCTGGCTACTCTGTGCCTGCGTATGGCAGGGAAAGAGACAGCCGTTGGGGAGGACCAGGGCTTCCTGGAGGAGGCTCATGGGAACAGATCTTTGACAGATGGATTTTGTTAGATGGAGATGAGCCAAAAATCACTGCACTTGGAGGAAACTGATGAGCAAGAACACAAAGGTGAGTTTGGGAAATGGTGGAAAATCCCGTGTCACCCAACAGGATATGCACATGGGAGAGGATGGCATAAGTGAGAAGACCCCACAGGTAAGGGGTCCACGTCAGGGAGGCCCTGCAAAAGCCAAGCTAAGCGTTAGGGTCTCCTTTTTAGTAAGGAGTCATTGCTGAGTTATTTAACACTTGATGGTTTTTGAGGCACAAACATTATACAAAAGGATCCTACCAGCATCCACGACAGGGAAGCAGGATAGACATTGTCCATCCCATTGGACATGAGGAACTGAAGCTTGAAAGGAAGCCTATGCCCAGACTTAAACAGCAAACTGAAAGAGAACTCACCAGACTTGCTTCCTGGTTTCCCCTCTGCACCCCAGTGTTAGGACTCTAGGGGTTATACCTTACAGAGAGTCAAGTCAAACCTGCTTTACCAAAAAAGAAGTTACTTGGTTTGTGGAACTGGGAAAGGCAGGAGATGGAAGGCTTCTGGCAGAGCGGGATCCAGGAACTGCAGTGATATCAGAGCTCTGTCTGTCTCTTGTTCTCAATAGTTCTTAGATGGGATCTCCTTGCACTGTGATGTGGTAATAAGAACAAATATTTATTGACCATTCCCTTTGCACCAGGCACTATTCTGAGCATCTTACATATATTAACTCAATTATTCCCACGAGGTAGATACTGTTATTCGCGTTTTGCAGATAAGACAATAGTAAATGTAAAGGATTAAGCCACTGGCCTGGGGTCATCTAGCCAGTAAGTGGTGGAGCTAAGGTCTGAAACCCTCTGCTCTATGCCTTTCATAGATGGCCACCGGCAGCCTGAGGTTTACATCGTCCTGAGAATGAACAAATCACATCACATCGTCCTCCACAGTCCACTCAACACAACCATATCCATCCCCCAGAAGGGCTCTGACTAACCTTCTCTGGGTCCTTGCCCATCCTTGAACCATCACCAGGGCATGAGTAGGGGGCCCACTCCAGTTGCTTAGGTGATTCTCTTGCCCACGTCTGTGCTATAGAGGGTGGGCCTTGTGGTCAATAGCCCTAGAGTTTAGGAAGCAGTAGTTCTAGAAAGAAAAAGGAATCTGGCAGGAAAAAGAAAAATCCAGTAACAGAAGTCTACTAGAAGCTCTTTGCTTCTCTGAGATCAGGAAAGCTGCCAAGAATGGCTGCCGCCTCTCCTACAGCCACCCGGCAGCGAAAGAGCCTGGCCGTGTGGGTGAGTGGAGAGCTGCAAGGATTCGCTGGGCACTCACTGCTGCTCTGGACCAGCCCCTGTGCCGAGCGAAGGGCACATGTGGTGGGTCAGACAGTCTCTGCTGCAAAGTGCGCTTGGCTGGGAACAGAAAAACAACAGTACAGTGCAGTGTAATAAGAGCCACAGTCACAGGATACACACAAAAAGGTAAGAGTCCCCTATCTCGGGAAACTTTAGGGAAGGCTTCCCAGAGAACTAACTGATGGTTGAACTTGGTCTGGAAGACTGAGTAGAAATGCAGCCAGTGGGCTAGATGAGGAAGGGCGTCCCTAGCTGGGAGCGCAGCGTGGGTGAAGGCACGGCACCGCCACAACTGCAGGTCACTCGGTGTGGCTGGGTCAGGGGAGGGACGGTGGAGAAGCAAGATGGGGCTGGAGAGGTAGGCTGGGGCCTGGGCGTGGAGGGCTCACACCCACGGTCAGCGGGGGCCCAGTGAAGAGTTAAGAAGAGGAATGATTTGGTCAGACTCGTGCAGCGTAGAGAATGCTCAGGAAGGGCAGTGGCCGCGTGGAGGCAGGAAGCTGGTAAGGAAATGCCTGACAGCTCAGACTTCAGGTGATGAGTGTCTGAACAAGACAGTGACATAGGACTGGAGGAGACGTGGATTTAAGAGCTAAAGCAAGAGGACTGGGTAATTAGATTCGGAGAGAAGAGTAGAGGACATCTGCCAGGTGTGTGGGTAATTGCTTGGGTGTGGGTGGGGGTGTTAGCCCGGACAGGGATTTCTCCCTGGGGAAAAAGCGAGTCTTTTAAACCAGGTGCCAGTCGGAGAGGATGAGGATTTTATGATTATCAGGACTATAATTAGCTCAGTTTATTCAGTAAACATTTTGTGAACATCTGTAGTGTGCTGAGCCCTAGCATACAGCAGTGAACAGACATGGTCTTTCTTGTAGCAAAGACTGCAGTTTACTGAGAGTGGCAATCAGGTAAACAGCTAAGTGGCCAAACCTTGGTCACTTTCCGTGGTGCCGAGCTGCCCAGACATTGCCGTAGCCAGAGCCAGCTTTTTCCCACATGCAACCCCACATGCAACCCCACAGGTCCCAGGGGAGACGGGGCCAAGAGAATCTGCAAACTGACTTTCCCATTGCAAACACTCAACACCCAGCTGAGGCAGCATGGGGCAGGAGAAAGGGCACTGGCTTGCGAATCAGATGCAGGTTCTCCTTCCACCTGCCCTGCATGACCTGAAGTCACAACTATTGTACTTTGAGCCTCAGTTTCCTCATCTCCAAAATGGCGCTAATAGTCATTGCCTTGCATAGCTCAGACACAGCTCAGCTGAGGCAATTTGTGCGGTGATCTTTGCAAACACTAGATTTCTGTATTCATTAGATCAGGGTTGGCAAACTTTTTTCTTAAATAACCAATTAGTAAATATTTTAGGGTTTGTAAGACATACCGCCCCCACTCAACTCTGCTATTTTAAGTAGCCATAAACAGTACAAAAAAGTGAGCATGGTTGTGTTCCAATAAAACTTTATTTACAAAAACAGGTGGTGAGCCAGATTTGGCCCATGGGCTATAGTTTGCCGACCCTGCATTAGATGATGGAGATGGTTAAGGGTCAGTTGCATGTATGTGAGGAATAGCTGACCGCAGAGCTAGGGCATGAGACTTAGGACCAGCAAAGGGGTGTTACACACTTCCTGCATGCCAGGCACAGTGATAGTCTGTACAGATGCCATCTCGTTGAATCTTCACACCAAAACGCGGATGTTCTTCTCTGCATTTCAGAAGTGGAACTCAAAAAAAGTGAAGTACGAATTTGAAATCACACCACTAGTAGGTGGCAGAGCTGGGGTTTTAAGCAGGTCTCTCTGACTCCAAAGCCTAAGGGTTTCTCCTTTAAATCCCTTAAGGCCCTTGGGGCAGACCTGGGTGCTGCCCTCATCCCACCCAGGTCCTCTTAAGAAGAGGATTAGGGACAGTCCAGCCCCAGAAATCCGTGTCAAGGGCTGAATTTCCATTGTCGTGCCATTAAGAGGAATTAGGAGACACCCTGGATTTCATACATAAAAGCCATGCACTAAGCACTTGGCGCTGACTAGAGTACAGTGAATGTTGGCTAAGATGAAGGGGGCGATGATTATGAAGAGGACAAGGAAGATTTGAAACCGAGGCTGGGTAAATCCCAGAGAATGCCAAGCCACCTCCTGGATTCCAAAGGAATCCTTCAGTTTTTCCGCCTCTTATTTTCTCAGTCACAGGTCTACTCTGGGATTGACATAACCTTTAATAGTGTCCTGCCTCATTTCCCCAATTCCTGGTCCCTAACGTCCACATTTTTCCCACCCTCCTGCAGCACAATTAGTAGTTGCCTCGGCTGCTCCTACTGCCTGTACCTGGGGCACGTGGTACCAAAGTACTGTTGGAATCCCAGCAGCTGGATGACGAACGCACATGCTGGAGGGCTTTGGAAATTTAGGCCCAGGGCCCTGAGACAGCGCAGCCACCAGGCACTGAGCCAACAAGGCTCCAAGTAGTTTCCGTAAGGTGACCTAGTGAGTACATGGCTGAGCCAGGGCTTGAATTTGCGTCTGACTCCAAGGTCTGTCCTCTTCACCTCCGCTTTATACAGGATCCTGCCTGCACAGGCGAGCACCTCTCACCCCTCACCAATGCCCATCAACACCTACTGACTCTTCAACAAATAATTCAAACCCATCTACTTCTCTTCCTCCCCACTGCCGAAGCCTTGGTCTAGGCAGCCATGGTGTCACGTCTCAGCCCCTGCAAAAGCCTCCTGATCAGGCCGCCTCATTTGCATCTGCCCCTCATCACTCCACTGTCCCTTCCTCACAGCAACAACGTGTCTTAAAGCACAAATCCAGGGGCCTCAGAGCTCTCTTCGAGCTCACTGGAAACTTCCCAGCCACTAAAACAAAATCCGTTCTCCATGCCGTGATCCTGAGCCGTGTGTTTTTCAGACTGCCTGTTGTGACCTGTCAGTAAAATCAATCAAGTGAGTTGCAAACAATTGTTTTTTTACTAAAATCAAACAGGATAGGATAAATAATAAGACAGTAGGGTAAATATTGGTCCATGAAAAAATTTGGCTTCTGAGATATGTGTGTGTGTGTGTGTGTGTGTGTGTGTGTGTGTGTGTGTGTGGTGTATGTGTATATAGAGACATACACAGAGATTAGATAGATACTCATATATGTGTATGTACTGCATTACAACATAACTCATGGTTCCTGTGGGTCCAGATCACGAAATTCTCTAAATCACTCATTTAGCCCACAACACCTCAGCCCATCTTACCCGCTCTTCCCGTCTCTCTGCCCTCCATTTCCATACTTGTATCTGTCCTGCCTCAAAGCCTCTGCATGTGCTTTCTCCTCTCTGCCTAGGATGGTCTCGAGTGGCCAGCATCTCTGTCCTTTAGCTCTTGCCTGCTACCTCCTCAGAGAAGCTGTCCCTGATCCCATCTAAAGGAATTCTCTCCTCTGTTACTCTGTCTGCCTATAATTTATAATTATTATATTTGTTTGATTGTTTCTCACTTGTTCTATTCCATGAGAATGGAAGATCCATGAAAGTGAGGGACATGTGTGTGTTGCTCGAGCGCCTGGCCTACAGCAGGTGCGGGGTAGATGTCTGCAGTTGGGAGGGTACAGCTCAGGGTGACCAGGTGGCTCTGGGCAAGTCACTTCCTCAGTGTCCTGCACTGTTGAATGAGGACATTAAACTCCATACTCTTAAGAGCTTTCTTAGTACTGATGTATGATTCCTTTGTCTGGAACTGGAATGTGGACTGGGAGTTCATTTCATGATCATTTCTTTCCAGTTTACAGGATTTTTTTTAATCTCATTTTGTTTGTGCAGCACCTCCCGGAGGAGGCCAATCAGGCTCTTCTTGCCAATGTCATTTGCTATATTAGAGTAGCCAAAACTCAAGTGACTCAGGGATTTGCTCAAAGTAGCGGACTAACAAAACCAGGCCCCAAACGTCAGCCTCCAACTTCTGCTCTCATGCTTTCTCCCATAATCCCACGCAAGTCAACCTGCCCTAGGTGAGAAGAATGAGGACGCGGTAGGAAAACGGGAGCTTTCTCGGCTTCTCATTTTCCTGGTAATGATGTTACTGCCTTACCCTCAGAGCCCAGTAGTTTGAGATCATTAGTCACCTGCTGGGTGACATTAGCTAAATCTAATAGTAACTAATGTGGGAATAACACAACCTACACCTTAATTATAAGGACTCCAAGACATTCAGAAGGACCTCAAGATTTTCTCTGTTCTCTAATCCTTGTTTGAAGTCTGCCGTCCTAGAGGCCCATTTCCTGAGAAGGGTGGACCGGGGTTGAGGTGGAGGGGTCCCCTCACTGCCCCGAACTCCTCCTTTGACTCAGGAACCTGGCGGACCGAGGCTGTGTTCAACGAGGAAGCACTGATCGGAGTTCCAAGCGACATCCCCCTTCAGAGCGCCGCCACCCTGAGCGTCAATCCCTGCACGGCCTACAGGATGCTGATGGACTTCGAGCAGCTGCAGCCAGGTGGGCACCTGCAGGGAGCGGGCCAGTATCTCCCAGCGGGGGAGTGACCCAATCCTGACCCTGAGGCCACAGGGAGAAAGACAGGTCCCTAACCTGCGTGAGCGTGTTGCTGTTGCTTTTGCTTAGAAAAATGTTAGCCTGGTTCCTAGAAAGCATGCTGAAACCTCATGAAGAATCCACTGTGGGAAACTGCTGAAGGATCACACTCCTAGAGCTTGGGGTGGAATCCTGTCATTCAGCAAAAAAAATGGTTCAAGCAGGGCTAAGCCCCGGGGGTACAAAGCCAGACAAGATAGACACAGTCCCTGCGTTTTCAGTAAAACGCTGAACTTAGTAATTCCATTCAGCATTCGTGTATCACTTTCCAGTTCACATGAGAGCCTTTACAGGCATCCCCACATTGACTGCACTAAATGTCAGAGCAGTGCAGCGAGGCTGGTATCACTGGTTGAGAGCTCAAGTCCCAGGCTCACGACCCAGGTCTGAACTCCAGCTTCGCCTTTCACTAACTGTGTAAGCTGACCTCTGAAGTCATCAGATTTTTTAATCTGTCAGATGGAGACTAGGAATCCGGAAGGTTAGCCGAAACACTGCAGTATAATACTCAGCACCGGGCCTGGGTCACAGTGCGGTAACCTCCCTGCCTTTACCATCCATCCTTTTTAGAAATGAGGAAACTGAGGTCCAGAGAGGTAAATTATTTGTGTGAGATCACTCAGCAAGGAAATAACAAAATCAGGTTACTTGGGGACCCCTGAAAGCAGAGTCTGAGACAAGGACTGCGGACACACGGTTCACTGGGGAGGTGATCCCAGGGAGCAGGGGTGAGGGGGAGCGAGACAGGGAAGGAGGAGGAGCCAGTGAATGCTGGTTACTGCCATGGGCAACCGGGGCTCAGTCCTGCTGGGGGCCCTCTCACGACCCCCGTAGAACCCACCGCAGAGTTAACCTCCAATGACAGGAGGTTACCCGCCGACTCCCACGCCCCAGTGTGCGAGGGCTGCCCTGCACATTATGTATATCCACAAGCCGGTAGGACCATGGAAGTCACCCAGTCTAGCTGTGTCATGCCAGTGAGGAAACTGAGGCCAAGAGGTGTTGGACTATGATGAACTTAGGTGGCCATAGCTGCCCAAGGCTGGCTGGAAACCAGTCCCAGCTTCTCGCAAAGAGCAGCGCAGGTTCTCACAGCGCTGGCTGAGCAGTCCTAGCGATCGTCAGCGGGGAAAGCCATCAGGTGTGACCAAGGACCTTCGCTCAAGCCCCAGTACAGCAGACACTGTGGTCACCTGCATCTCATCTCTTCAGGTCATCCCTGATTTGGGCCACCGCTGTGGTGGGCACAGCAGGGCATTCTGACACCACCCGCAATCCGTCTTCACTTTCCTTTCCCAGGGCTGGTGTGGCCTAGGCCAGATCAGGGTTAAACCTATGATCTTGACCCACAGTGACAATTACATTTCATACTGAAATCCAAATCACAGACATATGAATATACATATAATGGAAACCAAAATTTCATGAAACAACATTTACCCTTACTATGTGTGATGTACTCTGCTTTTTTATATTCTAGTTTGCTCTATTTTCACTTAAAAAAAAAAAATGCTGCTTGTAACCCACTACATTGATTCCATAACAACCTGTATGCTGACCCTGGCTGAGGAGAATGGAAACTCTTCTTCCAGGAAGTCCTCTGTGTCTAGCACCAGATCCTGCTGACTGTCAAGACCCAGATGGCATCTCAGGGGTAACAGAGCACCTTCCTGAACATGACAGCATTTACTCTAATTGGGAGCATCCTGACCGTTGCTTACAGGACGCCCATTATATAGGGAGGGAGACTGAGGTTCAAAATGGTCATGACTTGCCCTGTCTCGTTCAATTACAGTCATTGGTGAAGCTGGGACTCGCACCCAGGTCCTTCTCATTCCAGAGCCCACATTTCCCCCAATGTGCCAGGCTGCCTCCCCAGGGACTAATTCCAAATCTAGGCCTGGGCTTAGACCACAAACGATGGGACCCTGTTGCAGAGGCTGCTAGCTCCTCCAGTATGGCTGTCATCCCATTTCAAGGCGATGAACCTTTATTAAGCAGTACAGCGGGGGACTAGGCATGGCCTTCCCCTCAAGAAGCTGCAAGCTCTTGATACAATTGCACCCATATACAGCCAAGTGGAAGATGAGGCAGAGACCGTGTATGTTAGCAGAGATACCTGCCAGCAGAACGCTGTGGGGACGCGTAGAGGGAAGAGCCTGGGAAAGCTTCATGAAGGAAGCCCCGCTTGAGCTGTGCTTCAAAAGATTTCAGTAGGATTTCAAAACGAAGGGAGAAAGAGGAAAACATTGCACATTGCACACCAAGGAAATAACCTAAGTAGAGACTTGAGGACATAAAAATTGGAGGATGATGAAGGACATAAAATCATTTACACGGCAGTGGCTAAAGTACGCCCACTGTAGACTCTGAGTTGCCAAGTCTTAGGAGGCACTGTGGGCGTTGTGGAACTTTGGGGGGCCATTGGTAGAAGAGGGAGCAACACTCCAAGATCTGAGAAGGCTCAGCAGCCAGGTCCCAGGGCCCCTTGAGCCGGAGCACTCCATCTCTTGCCTAATATGATAGGATCTCAGGCTGGAAGCCCTTGACCTATTGCAAGTCTCCAGGACTTGACTTGAGTCTCTTCCTGGCTCCACAGGAGATTCTGTCATCCAGAATGCATCTAACAGCGGTGTGGGGCAAGCAGTCATCCAGATCGCGGCAGCGCTGGGCCTGAGGACCATCAATGTGGTCCGAGACAGGTGCGTGGGAGGCGGAAACCCGTATCATGACTTGGGCCTTTCCTCCTCGCATCCCTGCGTCTCCACCAGATGGCGCCTCCGCATAAGCAGGCTGCTCGCTCCAGGCGCGCCAGCCAGGAGAAAGGAAGTCCAGACCAGTGAATCTTTGAAATGTAAAGGGACGGTGGGAAGGAGGTGGAGATGGACGTGGCTGAACGGGACTGTTTGAAACTCTTGACTTGTGATAACCCCACGTTTTCAAGTCTGCAGTTCAGATTTGGGAATGTTTTACGCTGTTGCTTTTTCTGTGAACTAACCCTTTTCCCCTGCACGTGCGCACTAGTTTGAAGTGCACTAAATGTGGATTGAAGAGGATGGGGCAGGTTTGTCATCTCCCTTACATATGAGGAAACTGACGTTTCAGAGAAAGGAAGCAACTTGCTTAGGGAGCCGCACACAGCAAGTCAGCAAGAGACTTCCTTTCCTGACTTGTTCTCTTTCCCTCAGATCATCCAGCTTCCTTAAGCCTCACTGCCCAAGAGTGTGGCCGTGTCTGTCGTGGAAGTCCAGGCTTGGTAGGAGAACTGATACTCGCTTCAGTTCTCCACCGCCTTGGGCATGCTAACAAAAATCACTGTTTGCCTTGGCCAGAGAGTCCCAGACCCACTCCTGGGCTGGTGTGTGTTTGCACAACTCTCTAAAGAGCCCCTTGAAAAGAGGGAGAGGAAAAGAAGTGGATTTGTCAGTTCACTAGAAGAAACCAGGAAGTGAAACGACCTCTCCCTGGGCACAGAGGGTTTCTGCCATCCCTGAGCTGGCAGGAGCTGCACAAACCACCCAGCCCTGAGGAGACTGAGGCCAAGGGATGCTGGGGCACGATGAAACTGGGCAGCCAGCCCCTGCACAAAGCCTGGCTTAACGCAGCCCCCGCTTCCCGCAGGGAGACATCCTCACAGCTGCCACAGAGGAGTCCTAGGGACCTTCGGTGAGAAGGTGAGCGGATGTGACCAAGGATTTTGTTTGGTTTCCAGGCCTGACATCCAGACGCTGACCAAGAAACTGAAGAATCTGGGGGCTGAGCATGTTATCACAGAAGAGGAACTAAGAAAGCCTGAGATGAAAAACCTCTTTAAGGTACCTAGGATGAGGGACATTGCATCTCCATTCCATGCTCACCCCTCAGAGAAAGGTGACTTTCAACTTTCTGGGGCCTGGCCCCTATGTTCCCCTTCACATCTCCCTTTTGTCTCTTCGTGGAGGAGTAACGCCCGTCCCTCAGCCAGGGGACAGCATGCAGTAAGTGCCCAGGTGCTGTGAGGGAGGCAGGAGAGAAGACGGTGTAGGAAGCCCTATATGACTTGTAGTTTTGAATGTTTGTGTTGGGGCCACATCATTCCACACAGCCGATGGGAATCTCAGCGCTGGGAGGGGACCTGAGGGAGCTGAGGCACAAACAGGAAAGAAAAAGGAAAGAAGTAACATTTCCCAGGTACCTACCTTACATTTCATCTGTTAGTCCCACAGAAGCTCTACAAAGTAGGCACTATCGCTTTTATAGATGAGGAAACCCAGACTCAGAAAAGATAAAGGATTTGACCAAGACCGCACTGTCAAAGAGGTGGAGTCAGGGCTGACCCCAGGACTCTCCACACTCTTAGTTTCTGAACCTTCCAGAGCATCCTCCCCAGCATAGCTAGTAAGTGGCCAAACCACATCTCGGCCTGTTTTCATGGCACTCTGGAATGACCGAGCACATACCCCATCAGGAACACGTGCCCCTTGAGAACACCTCTCAAGGAGGAGGTCTAATATAAACTGAGTTCAAAGTGCTGAGAAGAAGCGCACTTGGGGAAATGAAGTCCTTGGAAATGGATTGTAGATGTCCTTTGTCTGTTCTTTCCCAGAGGAGTTGAGTTCTGAATGAAATTCTCAAACAGATCATAGGATTAGGTTGGTAAAGAAAAGGCCATTCCTGAGCAGGGGAAAAAGAGAATTCTAAGACAGGAACATCCTGTTTTCTTTACCCTCTCCTCCCCGTGCTTGGGCCAGGGAGGTGGTGTTGGTAGCAGCGTCAGCCCCCACGGGTAGAGCGGGAGCCCCCTCACTGCAGACTCCTTGTTTTCCAGGACATGCCTCAGCCACGGCTTGCTTTCAACTGCGTCGGCGGGAAAAGCTCCACAGAGCTGCTGCGGCACTTAGCGTAAGTCCGTCGGCCCCACAGGGCCAGTGCGCCGGCGCTCCCTGGGCCTTTGGGAGCAACCAGTCCCAGTGGCCAGTGTAAGCCAAGGCCAGGGCAGCAGGGCCCTGAGGAGGGGATCGGGGCCAAAGTCATGTCCTACTTATCTAGGCACTTCCTTTCTCAGCCACCTTCATTAAAAGTGACTGAGAAGCCCACCCAGCTTTGTTTTTCTGGGGACCGACTGTTAGACTCTCTGTGACAGGAAAATGGTTAAGAATTCATAACCTAAGGGCATCCTAAAAAATCACTTAGTCCTAGCTTATTAGCTTTTAAAAACAGATTCTAATTTTAGAAGTAACATGATACTTATTACAAAACATTTTGAAAGCATATAAAAGTACAAAGGAAAAATTAAAGTGCCGAAGTTACCTACCATCCCCTCACTGAGGGGGACAAGCACTGCTGACAAGGTTAACAGCACATTCCCTTCCCTCCCTTCCTTTAATTTAAACTCTAGTGGAAGAGTGCGGGAAAGGACGCTTCCCAGCCGAAGCAGGGATCCCCTAAACAGTATTAGTTAACACATATTAGCTGACACCCACTAGCCACAGCATATAGAGATGGCTGAGAGGCTGAAGGAGAACCCTTACAGCCTAGGTGGGAAGATGGGTCAAAGAGCTGTGAAAACAATCTGTGAGAGTTCACTGTGCACCAAATTCTATGCAGAGAGCTTGAGGTACCCCTCCCCCAGCCACCTAGGATGGAAAATGGGGATTCCCATCCCCATTCGTACAAGGCCCAGAGAAGGTAATCACCCGCCCACGATCTAGGAAGCGGCAGAGCCAGGCTCAGCCTTGCTCCAGGAAACCTCCGAGGGAAACTGCAATCCCATGCCATTCGTTGTGGGAGGAAGAGAGTGATTTGGACCAATGTCAATGCCATGGCCAGTCACACACCTGTGGGTGGAGCAGAGCCACACTGAACTCCGGTCTGAGCTTTTGTCAGTAGAGCACGCTGCTTTGCAGCACCTCACCTGAATCTGACTGACTGGGTGGTTAGAGCCGTGGGTTCCCAACCCTGCCTAAACATCCAGGTCACCTGGAGCGGGGGTTGTTGTTTTTAAGAGACCCTTGCCTCCTGGTTCATTAGGTCTGGGGGAGGGCCTAGGAATTTGTAGTCAGCACCCTTCCCAGGAATTCTGAAAGCAAGGTTTAGGCTTTAGGATTGGAGTAGAAGGGCTGTGGCAGATTCCAGAAGGGCTCCGTGCACCCGTTCTGTTCTCTCTGACTCTTCAGGCCTGGAGGAACCATGGTGACCTATGGGGGCATGGCCAAGCAGCCCGTCGTGGCCTCTGTGGTAAGCCGGTGCGGGAGGCAGGCCTGGGCATGGGCCCAGGCTCCACAGCTGTCTAAACGCGGGCAGCGCCCCGCCCCTGGGGGAAGAGTGTGCACTTTAAGTGGGACCTGGAGTTCTTGCCCTCAGAGCCTCAGTATGTCCTTCTGTGTCAACAGAGCATGCTCATTTTTAAGGATCTCAAACTTCGGGGCTTTTGGTTGTCCCAGTGGAAAAAGGACCACAGTCCAGGTAAGTGTGTGATGGCCCCATTGTCAGGGGTCACACAAAAGGGTAGTGCCTGCTGCAGAAGCGACCAGCCACTCTGAGCCCTGGATGGGCAATTGGATCCCCCAGCCCTACAGCAGGATAAAGGAAAGCAGCCTCTAACTGCAGGAGCAGTTAGCAAATAGTTATTGGACTAAGGCGGGCTACTGCCTGGGGGCATGACACTGAACAAGGCACACCCTGCCCCTGTCCGTGAGGCGCTGGCGGAGGGAAGACTGCCTTGGGAGGCAGCCAAGCAAAGAAAAAAAATCCGGAGCCAGCCGGCCCAGGTCTACCATTTCTGGCTATAGGCTCTGCCTAGCCAAACTGTGGGACCTGGACAAGTTGCTTAACCTCTGCCCCAGTTTACATGTCATAATAGGTTAAACTACTGTTAGCCCTATTTGGCAGAAGAGGAAACTGAGGTTCAGAGTGATTAAGTAGTTCTCCCAAAGTCGCCTCACCTAGGGAAGCATGCAGCCAGGATGCCACCAGCTAGTCTCTCTGACCGGAACCTGAGCCAGTACATTCTTCCCCTCCTGGAGGACTGGCTCCCCAGAGAATGACCCCCAAGTTGAGACTGAAGAATGACGAGGGGTTATCCAAGTGAAGAGAGGAAAGTGGTGGCATGGATGAGGTGTTTCAGGTAGAAAAACTAGCGTGCGCAAAAACCCATCAGCGAGAGTGGGAAACTAGACATATTGGTTGTAACCACCTTATAAAAGGCCTTATAAATCTTTTTAAGGAGTTCAGACTCTATCTTAAAGGCATTTAGGGAGCCATTGAAGTGTTTTAAGCAGGGATATGATCAGATGTGAATGCTGAATGAAGTACGTCTATGAAAAAACACTTCTCAGCCAAGGCCTTCACTTCTTATCTCTCTGTACCATATTGGGTCCTTAGTGGGAGGCGATGTTGGTGGCCTCAATTCCTGGGATTCTAGGGGAGTCCTGGGCTCACAGGGAGAGCTCTTCCTGAGCAAAGCTCATCTGTTCCACATCAGTTGGTGTGCCAGGTACACCCACCTCCCTCCCTGACCCTCTTCTGGCCTCCCCACCTTGAAGTAATCCCGCCCCTCCTGCCATTCAGACTCCAGGTTACACCCCAGCCAGGTTCTGTGGGTCTGAGCCACCAGTCTGCCTGCCCGGCAGTTCCTGGGGCCACTCCCCATATTCCTCCCCCCCCCCCCCACCCCTCGCTCTCACTGTCCTGAACACAGGTGGGGACCAGGCAGCCTCCACAGCGACCCTGTCTGTGTCCAAGCCCTGGGCTCTCCAGGCTTTCCTGGAGTGCAGCTCCAACTCCTACTAGCTGGGGCGACACATGTGCCATCTCTCCGAGCCCTGGCACTGCTGCCGCACTCCTGTTTGACTGCCCCCAACCTCCCACAGACCAATTCAAGGAGTTGATCCTCACCCTCTGTGATCTCATCCACCGAGGCCGGCTCACAGCTCCCGCCTGCGCCGAGGTCCCACTGCAGGACTACCGGTGTGCCTTGGAGGCCTCGATGCAGCCCTTCCTGTCTTCAAAACAGATCCTCACCATGTGACCATTCCAGCAGAGCCGGAGCCAAATGGGAAGGGGGGCATCAATAGGACTGGTTTTGTCCCCGTAGTCTGGGCCCTCAGCCTTCCGCAGGCTGCCCCCTCTTCACTGTGACTTCCCACTGGGAGAGCTGTGGGGCCAGCCTCAGGGTCCCTAATGAAGCCTGGATTTCCTAGAAACAAACAAAACCAATACAAGTCACCCCTGTTGAGAAGGACCATCATTATAACTGTGCATCTGCCATCTTCCAGGACTTAGATGCCCCTCCTTGCCTATCCTCCAGTGTTCCCCCAGAGATCATGACCTGACATGCTGAACGCAAAGCCAGGGTGTGCCTGGCAGGTGCGAAAGCCAGCGAGACACAATCTCTGCCCTCAAGCCATCCATGCCCACAGGGGAGAATCTAAAAAGGCAAGTTGAGCCCTGGCTAGTGTGGCTGAGTGGATTGAACACCTGCCTACAAACTGAAAGGTCACAGTTCGATTCCCAGTCAGGACACATGCCTGAGTTGCAGGCCAGATCCCCAGTTGGGGGCTGATGAGAGGGAATCAATGTTCCTCTTACACATTGATGTTTCTCTTCCTCCCTTCCCTTCTCTCTAAAAGTAAATAAATAAAGTCTTTAAAAATATAATGCCCTATTTCTAAGAAAAAATAAATAAAAATAAAAGGCAAGTTGACTCATTCACAGGTGGTGTGTGGCTCAACAAAGAATTACCCAGTCCAAGATGTGATAGTGCCACTGTTGAGAAATCCTTTGTTAAACCAGTAATCCCACAGTAGTTACCATAGTGATCAGCCTGCTAAAGAAGACCCGTGTGGGAAGGTTGGCAGGTGCCCTCTGGATAAGATTTGCCGCCTTGGACATCTGCTCCAGGATCTGCTCCAAGTCCCGCCCATGCCCCTGTCCTTTATCCTCAAGGTTAGGGAAATGAATGATTTGTATAGATGGCTTACGTGGGAAGGTAAGAAAGCCTGAGAGGTAGTAGGGGGCTGCCCAAAGGCTTTAGGAGTGAGAGTTAAGTTTAGGTTCTTCAGGGGCTGTCCACACCGTTGGACTGGGAGTGATGAGTCTGCACCAAGAAGGGGCAGTCCCCTGGTACCAGCTCACAGGAAGCAGACAGGAAGGAGTAAGGTTCATAATACCATGGTTAGGGGCCTCGTGAAGGATCGAACAAAATGTCCTAAGAACAATACCTCTAGGGGCCTGAAGATGACATTTGTGTGGGGCTTTAATGGATGATTATTGTTTTCTCAGACAGGAAAGGAAGGCAAGCATTACAGATTAAGGGACCAGATTAAGCAAAGTTACTGAGACAGGACATTTTTGTTTGAATCTTCTGATTTTCCCCAGATAGCCATTCTCTTCCTAAAAAATAAAACTGATGACTTTTAGGTGGGCACACAGTAGGCTACAGTAAACTCTTCCCTGCCTCTCTCACAACAGACAAGTTCTGCCCCTTGTGATTGATGTAAGCAGAGGTGGTAGCTGTCAGTTTCTTAGGAACCTCTTTAAAATATAGCTGGCACCAATCTTGAACTTTTTCTTCCCCTTCCACCTACCTCCTGGCTGGGATACAGACTTGATTCCTGGAGTTGGCACAGCCATCTTTGACCACGTTAGGAATGGGACAGCAATGAGGTCACAGGAGCCTGGGTGGCACCCAGAAGCCTTGGCTGTCCACTTCAGGACTTGAGAGATAAGTTTTACTTAAGAAATAAGCTTCTATGTTGTTTAACACCCTAGTGTTTGGGCTTTCTCTGAACCTAGTCATAGCTGATACATATTCTGTGATTCAATTTGTATTGAAATGAAGTCATTCAATCTGAAGCTGAAAAAGTGAATTGTGGCAATTTGTGATTCCCAGCTAAGGAACGTGGACTTGATCCCATTGGCAGTAAGAAAAGATTTCTGAGCCAGAAGATCAAAAACTGCTTTGGAAAAATCCCTCTGGCAGCATGTTGGAAAATTTGGATAAGGGAGGCACTAAAAGATAAAAAGAAATTCCCATGCTTCTGAATTTTAAATAAGTAAAATCTCCCTAAATTTTGAAGAGCAACATAGGATTGCCAACACTTAAGAGGCCCGCAGAGGAAAGGAGACAGACAAAACAATGTTAGAAAAGAATCTGACTTAAGCCCTGGACCGTGTGGCTCAGCTGGTTGGGCACCATCCCACAAACTGAAGGGTCTCAAGTTCGTATCCCCAGTCAGGGCACATGCCCAGGTTGCAGGTTCGATCCCCAGTAGGAATGCATTCAAGAGGCAACTGATACCTATTTCCTTCTCACATTAATGTTTCTCTCCCTCCCTTCCCCTCTCTCTGGACTCAATAAAAGGAAAAAAAAAAACAATCTTTAAGAGAATCTGACTTAAAATGAATCATTTCTCCCATACTTCAGAAGTATAGGAGATTACTTTTTAATTTTCAGGCTGAATAATTTCACTGTGGGGTTGAGACAGCTCTTCTGGCCCACTAAGTAAACAATACCATTTTTAATGGTTAAAGGAGGAGCCTTTGGTTCCAGGAGGCTCAAAGAAGACAAACGAGCATTACCTCCTAAACCAAAGCTTGGGCACGCCTGAAGCCCTGATGCTTCATGACTCTGGCTCTCCCTGGTGTCTTCTGGGAGCATGCATCCTGCAACGGTCTACAGCCACTGCTGTCACATTGGTGACTGTCTTGTGTTTGGAAGATGAGATAAGCCCGCTTTCCTCGGGGAAAGCATGAGGCCCAGAAGAACCAGGTCCTTGCATCAACCTGTGTGCTGAAAGTGCCCAGTTGTACCCACCAAGCACATGCTTCTTGGCAGGTGCCATGCCCTGGGTGGGACACTGGACCCAGCCAGAGCCACTGGAGAGGGTAGAAAAGAGAGACTCAGTCCTGGTACAGCATCTGCCTTCATCTGAAGGTGGGAAACTCCTGGGAAGGTAAGTGGGAAAGAGACACTGGCACCGTCTGAAAGGGAAGAAAGTCTTTCCTATGTCCCTAACCCTCTGTAGTGTACCGGCACTTTAACGTGCATCTTCATTTGATTTTTACAACTTCCCTATATCATTGAGATTTTAATATCACCACTTTAGAGAAGAGGAAGATGGTGAGAGAGGTGAGGTGAGTTGTTCAAAGTCACAGCAAGCAGCAGAACTGCCCCCAGACACCAGGTCCCCTGATTCTGTCTGGTCACCATACCAATCAGTAGTCCCAATTCTTTTGACCCCACAGTTGGCCTTGAGCTCCCTCTCTTCTCAGGACTCCTTGATTTTCATCAATGATACTTAACATGTCAATCAGCAAGTCATTGAAATAGTCCATTTATTCATTCAGTAAATAGTCTGAACAACCATTCTGTGAAAATCCTTGTTTTAGGTGCCAGGAATAAAGCAGGAAACAAAAAAAAAAAACAAGGCCCCTGATACCAGGGTACTTATTATATTCTAGTGGAGGAGAAAAATAGTGAGCAAGTGAATAAACAAGGTATAGAATGTGATGTACCTTCTGTGTACATCAGAAGGAGGAATGGGTAGCATGTACTTGGGACAAGGTGGTCAAGGAAGGTTTGAGGCCTGAATAAGGAGCCAGCCATATTCCAGACAGAGGGAGCAGCACACTCAAAAGCCCCAATGTGACCCTGGCCTGGTAGCTCAGTTGTTCAGAGCATCATTTTGATATGTGACACTTGCGTGTCCAATCTCTGGTCAGGGCACAAACAAGAATCAACCAGTGAATGCAAAAATAGGTTGAACATCAAATTGATGTCTGCCTGGTCTCTCTCTCTCTCTCTCTCTCTCTCTCTCTCTCTCTCTCTCTCTCTCTCCCCCTCTCCCCCACCCTCACCCTCCCTCTCTCTAAAATCAATAAATTAAAAAATTTCTTAAAAACCCTGATGTCTGACCGGTATGATGAGGCCTGAACTAGCTTAGTAAGTGGAAATGAGAAAAGTGAATAGATTCTTGAATTTTTAATAGGAAAAGTCAAAAGGACAGACTGGTGGTTGAAGGTTGAACTTCAGCGCTTTGCTGGTTGAGAGTGCCACTCCCTTAGTTAGGGAACACCAGAGGCGGGACAGGCTTTGGAGACCGGCATTTCCGCTCTGTGGGGCTCTTTTCACATCTGTACAACAGGCTGGGCAGATCATATGACAACCAAGGCTAGTGCTAGTTCTAGTACTACGGTCCTCACACTTTACTACATTCCAAATGGAACAAAGATGGCAAGAAAAAATTAGCCGTAGAAATAACAGAATAAACCATGGAGGTAGTTTGGTTGTTATTTTTTTCCTTTTAACCTCAGCATGAGGAAGGCCTTTTAAACTACAGCACAAAATCCAGAATCAAAGAAAAATAAAGAATGGATAACTTTGATCCCATAAATATCTAATATTTTACATGGCAAAAAACACTAGGTAACGTCAAAAGTCAACAAACTGAGGAAAAAATATTTGCAACTCATCTGACAAAAAGCTAATTTTCCTATTATACTGTCAGCTCCTATGGAAAAAAAAATAAGAAAAATGGTCCAAAAATATAAATAGACACAGAAAGTAAAATATGTGTCTCTTAAACATAAAATAAGGCTCACTCAAGATAATTTCAATTTATTGTACACTACCTCAGATACCATTTTTCAGCTATCAGATTGACAAAGATCATAAAGTTTGATAACTGTTAATGAGATAGAGAATTGAGCAATATCTGTCAAAACTACATTTGCCCACACCCTTTGTGTACTTCTAGGAACATAGATTACACACACACACGCACACAGACTTAATCTTTGCAGCACAGTGTTCTTCATTAGGGCACTGATTAAATAAATTTCTGTGTATAAAATAGTATATTATGAGCCATAAAAAATAGTCCTGACGAAGCTCCTTTTCTACTCCTATGTAATGATTTTCAAAATATCAGTGCATAACTGTATGTACACTACTATTTGCTTTATGTGTGTAAAATACCTCCAAAAGAACATTTAAACTGATTACACTGACTACCTCTGAGTAGGGAAACTAGGCAGCAAAAGGAGAGATAGGAAGACTTTTCACTGTGTATCATTTGAAGCAGTTAATGAATTATCTCCTCAAAATATAATTTAAGAAATAAATGCAAACAGGAAAAAACACAAAACCTTGTGGTTTTAGGTAAAGTGGGTTAGTGAGAAGGGAACCAATATTGGCCTACCACGATCTTCATAGTGTTCCAAGCTCTTCCACCTACACTACCCCATTTAGTTATCCTGGTATTCCATGGAAATGGGATAAATTCTAATTTTGCAAGTTAAGAAAGTAGGTAAAATTGGTCAAGTGACTTAGTCAATGTCAAGTCTAACCTTGCTCAAAGCTCTAGGCTTCTCCATTTTCCAACCTACTTCTACTGAAGCAAAGTGTCTTATTTTTTTAAAAATAATACTGGTATTGGACACTTGCGATGTGCTGGGAACAGTACAAAGTGCTTTATGTAACAATTCTCAAGACAACTCTGAAAGGCTGGAATTTCTACTCCCCTTTACAGAGAAAACAAACGAGGCTCAGAGAGGTGGCGCACAAGGAGCCCAAGGTCACAGACACAGAGACGGGTACAAGCCAGGTTTAATTCCAAAGCTCCTGCTCTAAAGTAGAAACACTCCCGCCCAATCCAAATCTTACTAGCAGGAACGCTGGCTGATGGGGGCGGGGTGGGGCGGGGTGAGGCGGGGGTTGGAGAGCAGGAACACTTCCGCCCGGAGGGGCACTGCCAGAGGCTGCGGAAGGCGGTGCATGTCCCGCCAATGCGAGCTCGCGAGAGGATGTGAGGGGTAGGCAAGGACCAAGGGCCTCCGCACCGCCTCTGCCGTCTGTCTATCACCTGGCCCCACCCCACGCCGGCGCACCCCTGGCAAGCTCCGCCCTCACCCCTGGCTGGGCGGGAAGCGAACGCGCGTTCCCTCGCGTTCCCTCCCGTTACCGCCCGCCTGCGGGGAGGGCGGGGGAGGCGGGAGGCGCGCGCTCGCGAACTGCGTGCTCGCGTACGTCGCCGGGGTTCGGCTGCGTCGGTCTCGCCGTCCGCCCGTTGCCGCCGTCGCTGCCGCTGCCGTCGCCGCGCTCTCGCTTCGCCGGCCGCCGCCTAAGGGGGTTGGGGCTGGGCCAAGCTACTGCCGCTGTTGCCGGGATGCCGCGGGTGTACATTGGCCGCCTGAGCTACCAGGCCCGGGAGCGCGATGTGGAGCGTTTCTTTAAGGGCTACGGAAAGATCCTGGAGGTGGATCTGAAGAACGGGTGAGGAGGGCGCGAGAGGGGACGCCCGGTTCGGTATAGGCCCCGGCGGTGGTGGGGATGCCGCGGGGACGGGAGAGGGACGTCTACCCGGCGCGGAGCTGCTATCGGCCTGCTCCGGTTCCGCCATAGTCGCGGCGCCTCGGGGGCGCAAGTAGGCCCAGGTTCCCACTGCGCCTGCGCGGGTGGGGGTGGTGGAGGGAAATGGGAGCAATGGTGAGGCTCAGAGTGGGACGGGGAGAAGGAAAACCCGAATGGGATTGGGGCTCCAGGCGGGAGTGTATAGCTTCAGGGCGCCGAGGAGGCCTGGTTTTTTCCTTCCCAGGCTCTGGGACCAGGGCCCGGTTTTTCACCGTTTAGAGACCGACCTTTCCCGCTCTCTAGGCTGCTGGAAATAGACAGGATTTTCTGTTCCCCTTTCACCTCTTCCCCACTATAATCGACCAGACGGTCACACCGCATCTTTCCTAGGGATAGCAGCTCTGGAGAGAGGCCTTGTTTAGACTTGCCATGTGCCACACTTTGTTGAGGCGGGAGACTCCGGTTTGAGTAGTGTAGTGACAGTTTCGAAAGTATCGTCTTGCCGTGCGGAAAGCCTTCACCGTTCCCTGTATCAGGGTAAAGTCTTAACTCGTTATCTTTAAGACTCCATACAGAGTTTCCAGGCTGTGGTTTCCGTTCTCCAGCTTGCCAAAAAAAAAAAATTGCTTTGTCGTTGTAGAATTTGTTGGAGAATGGTGGCCACCCTGGCTAGTGTGCACGTCAACTAGCTACTATAGATGGAGACGCACAACTCGAAATTGCTTACTGCCTCCCTGGGTACATATGGTCTGTTACTTGTATTCCTAATCTACTTTGGCAGAGCAGGACCCGCAGGCGCTGCGTGTTTCAGGGAAAACAGATGAGGAGTTAGGTCTGGAAGAGATAACTCAACGGGGAAAACGGTCAGAACCAAGAAATTTTAAGTAGGACTTCAAAGACATGAACATAAAAAATTAAAAGAGTAAGGTGAACATTTAGGGTACTAAACCTTGGCTTTTGGGTTTGTTTGTTTTTTTTTTAAAGACCTGCTTTGCAACAGGTGTAACGTTGCTACAGTTTACTCCCCAGTATAATATTAGCAACTACCACTTGAGTAGTTAGGGAATATTCCTAAATGTAAGTTGCATATTTGAGAAAAATTGGTAGCTACCATATACTCAGATTGTTGGCTGGATTTTAAAAAGTAATTTCAAATTGATCGTTTGAAAAATCACCTTCTCACCTAGGAAAATGTCCTCAATAGATTGTTGTGGGTTTTTCCTCTTTTCTTTCTTTCTTTCTTTCTTTCTTTTTTTTTTTTTAATGAATACTGACTTCGTTTAGAATAAAAGACTTAAGAAAATACCTATTTTCTACAATAGAGTTTTCAGTTCTTAAGGGGTTTTTGTTATTGTAATACATATATATATATATATATATATAAATGAGAGAACAAGTTAAAATTCCCAGTTTTTTCAGAGCCCAAGTAAGTTGACAGAATAACTAAATTTTATGGGAGAAAGCATGCTTTGAAGCTAGACAGACCTGAGTCAAATCTTAGCTTCACCATTTAGTATTTGTGGGCAAGTTACTTCTCAAATTCTAAGTTTCCTCATCCAGGAAAATTAGACGTAATAATTGTGAAGCATTTGGCTCATAGCTTTTATAAATGTTAGCTGTAATTACAGAGATTTGACCATGATGTTGAGGAGACATCTTAGCTTCTGTTTTGTAACAAAGCACATTTGGTGAGGTCTTTTCTAAGGTTACTCAAGTGACAGCAGGAAATGATGTTGATATTAATTGGAAAACTGGTTAATTGAACAAATGTTGATAACCCATCAGCAGGATGCCTGCTACTGTGCTAAATAAATTGGGGAAAGACAAAAGAATTCTGTTCTTTAACAAATTAAATGTTTATGGTTATAAAATGTATACTTTGAGTTAAATGCTTGCTCTCACTTTAAACTTAAACAAGTAAAAATAGGAATGGTTTATTTGAAAAGGGCTTTAAAGAATGGATTGCTTAGGGCTTGAAATGAAGTGAGAGATGTCTGGGAATAGTATATGCTATAACAGGTAATGAGTTGGTCCAATAAGGAGTAATTTTGAGAAGTAATAATCTAGTTTGGATTGAGTATCATTAAAGAGCTAGAAACTTAACAACATAAACCAGAAATAACTATAAGATTTTACACTAAAAAAGCAAAGTCATAGATTAGGAATTCAAAGGCTTTAGGAAAAAAAAATTGAGCAACCCTGGAAATGTTGGGATAAGAGAAAGGACAGCTTCTTCCAGGACCCTAAGTATCTAGGTCTCTTTTGGGGAACTGTAGGATCATACAGTTCTGCTGCTAGACCAAGATGTGCATGAAATCTGTGATTGAAATGAGGAATAGGAAGTTATTTCAGGGATTTGAAGGCAGGTGTGACAGTCACCAAGTGAGCACACCTGGCTGCATTCAGGAGTCATTACAGAGGAAAATGACTGAGCTAAGAACCAATGACATAAATGTGTTTCAAGCAAGAATTGTCTGGACAAGATGGCAAAAGTGCAGAGGAGTCTGAAAGGAAGGAGTAAGTACAAGGAAAAGATGGCATAAGACAACAACATGTGTAAGGTTATAGTCCTGGAAACAAAGAAGGATAGAAGATCTCCCTGAGAAATATTTTTTAACATACCTGGATTGTGATTAATAGTAATTGAAACTCAAAAGCAGATTTTAGATGGAAAGGGCATTTAAGAATTGCTAAAGAGTTCAAGTTTATAGAAGGGAGGTATCAGTAGACAGGCACATTACGGTATTTTGCCATGTATAATGTGTTCCTGTGTATAATGGGTACCTGTGACTTTGTGTGCATTGTACATGGGATTATTATACCCGTGTATGACATGCATCCTTATTTTGACCTCAAAAATTCAAGCAAAAAATGCACATTATACAGGAATGTTGTGGGTAAAGTTCAGTATTGATTACATAGGCATAAAGTACTGCTATACTAGGAAGTTGACCAAGTGAGGAAGCAGATGAGCTCTCCAGATGAGACTTCAGTGTTGAGGAGAGGCTTTTATGGGCCCTCTTGGGATTTGGAGAAGAGGGGTGTATGTAATAGTTCTTTGTAGCAGGCAACCCTAGGTATAGACTGCCTTTGTTTTTAGAGAACTAGGACCACAAACATGGTATAGCTCTCCCAGAACAGAGGCGACCACTCCAGATCCCCTTAGGGATACCCTACATTCATACTTGCCACACTAACTCCAGCAAGAGTCACCAGGAAGCAGCACCTGTTTATAGCCATCTAACTCCATGGTAATCTTTGCTGCCTTTGATTATTTGTGAATCCTGTGGTCTTTTTTATTAATAAAACCACTGTTTCCATGTAAAGTGTAGAAGGTTTTTTGATACAGTAGTTTCTCTTGGCACAAAATCTTGTGGTTTTAGTCAGACATATTTGTATCTTAATTTTTCCTTATTTTAATTAATGAATAAAGCATCATATCCTAAGCTTGTTCTACTTGCCTAGTAGCTGGACAGGTAAACCCCCCAAATCACTGAGGTGGTAGGTTTTTGTTTTATTGTTTGTTTTTGTTGTTCATTTGTTACTAGTTTGTTTAAGTTATGAATTAAAACTCTAAAGGGAAGCTTGGCTACAGATTTCAGAACCTGTGTTTCATATTACAGTGGAATTGTGAATGGCCAGAATTTTTAGGGGCTGTCCTGATCTGTTTAGTTGGATTTTATGACATCTAAATATTATCAGAAAGTTTTCTTCTCCCCCTCGTTAATAATTCCTTCAGGTTGTGCCATGACTGGTGTGGCTCAGTGGGTTGAGTGCCAGCCTGCCACCTGAAACAGGTTCAATTCCCAGTCAGGGCACGTGCCTGGCTTGTGGGCCTGGTCCCCAGTTCAGGGTGTGCAAAAGGCAATTGATGGATGTATCTCTCACACATAGATGTTTCTCTCCCTCTTTTTCTCCCTTCCTTCTCTCTAAACATAAATAAATAAATAAACTTTTTTTAACTATTCCTTCAAGTAGCCCTAGCCATCTGGCTTGATTTGTTGAAGCATCGTCCTCTACATCAAAAGGTTACAGATTGGAATCCCAGTCAAGGCACATACTTAGGTTGCACATTATACACAGGATTATCATACCCATGGATGAGGGGACAATCCCTGGTTGAGTACATACGGGAGGAGACTGAGGCAACCGATTGATGTTACTCTCTCACAGTGACGTGTGTGTCCATCCCTCCCTCTCCTTTCCTCCTTCACGCCTTCCCTTTCTCTACCTAAAATCAATAAATATATCCTCAGTGGATGAGGATTTTTAAAAATTCTGTCAAGAGAAGGTATCTTATTTAATTTTTTAAGTATGTTAAGACTCTTGCAATGAATTGAGCACTTGTTACATTTGTTTCTGGTCACTGTAGGCATTGTTAGGCCTCAGATCCTAAGATGAATCTCCACCAACCCCAGAACCTACACAGGGATTTTATCTTTTGACTGTATTGACGGGAGCTTGTTTTTTCCTCTTTTCTTTTAGAGGGGCAATAAGGGAAACATAATTAATTTAATGTTCCAGATTAGGTTTCTGATTAATTGAACCACTTAGTGTATTCTTAATCACGTGGGAGATTACCTCTACCCATCACTAAAGAGCAAATAGATGCTTTATCATTTTTTATGGTGATGCTACAACTAATGGGTGACAGGAATGACAAAAACACTCTCCCTTTAAGGACCCCATTACCTTTGTGTTCTTGGGCAGTTCTCAAAAATAATGTCACATTTGAACCCACACAGTTCCAGGCTTTGGATTTGTGTTAATGAAGGCATTGGTTCTGGATTAATTTTATGATCTCTAAGAAGAGATTAAAACGTAACTTTCTTTAAAGGAGTGTTTGAACAGTTTTATACGTAAAGTTAACATTTCAAAATAGCACGTATTTCTGATTATAAAAATTGTACATTTATTGTAAA